AAGGAAGCTCTCACTCCCAGGAGAATTGGGACTCTCCTCTTCCCAAGTGATAGTTCTAACACTAATGGAAGTGGATCTGAAGAGGAATTCTATGGTTTTGAACAATTTGTGACTGAAAATAATGCTCAGGACATCAAAAATAGTGCCGAAAATCCTAACAACCCTCAACCTTTGATCTCTGGTGCTGATGCCTCTCAGTCACATTCAGTTGTACCTCATCGCAAAAGAAAACTAATATTTTCACGTGGCCAGGCCTCGGATTTGAGTAGTGGTGATGATAGTGATGTGGACTTTAATTTTATTTCTCTTAATGACCATTCGAGTAGTGATAGTGAGGAATCATATACACCAGTGAAGTGTCAGTTTATATGATGTCACATGCACTCGGGTAGTGTACCATATGCAATTCCAAGGGGACGGAGTGCATCCTGGAGTACATCCTGTGACCCTACAGCTGGAACAGACAGTGAAAAAGATGATGATGTGGCTACAATTGGTATGGATAGACCACAGGCATCAGTAGGTGGTGGTGATAGTGGTGGTGGTATCACAGGCACGCAGTATGCGGCACCAGCCCAGGCTGGGACCCAAGCCACTGACTCATCAGGAGTAGGACAAACCACATCTTCATCCACCACCACACCACAACTACAACCACAACCAGCTTATGAAGTCCAGTACCCACTAGCAAACCGCATCTGGGATTGGCAGCAAAATCCCAATTTTGTTCCCAATCCCCATCAGTTTGATGACACCTGATCCTGCCATCATGTTCCCTTGGAAACACTGCAAATGAACTGCAATTCTTTGAACTATTCTTTGACCAGCTCTTGATGGAAAATATTGTCAGGGAAAGTAACAAGTATTTTGATTACACCATGGCAAATACAGTAGGGCCCCACTTATACGGTGGGTTAGGTTCCAGGCTATCGCCGGAAAGCAAACATCGTTAGAAAGCAGAACTCCATTTTTTCCATTTATAAATGCATATAAATGCCAGACAAAAAGTTGACACTAAATTATATTAAGTTAGTAATAGAACTAGGCATTAAAAAAAACATGAAAAGTAAAATTCATACGTAGTACATTCATTACTTATCTTTAAGTATTTGTAATCTTAATGTAGGGTGAGAGGTGAGTAGTACTTATTTGTAGGAAGTCAGGTGTAGGTAGCCGTGGCTCCCTGTCTTATACTTAATATATGATATTTAAAACATCCCAGAGAGTTAAAATACACATACAGTACACTAATTATTTACCTTAAAATATGTGTAATCTTAATGTAGGAAGAGAGGTGAGTAGTATTTATTTGTACAAAGTTAGTGTAGGTAGCTGGTAGATGTAGCTGGTAGGCGTAGCCCGCCTGGGCTACACCTACCGGCTACCTACACTGTGGCCCAGAGCCATATTAGCATCGACATACCTTTTTCACTGAATTTAATCGTTTCTAACAGCTACCTTTAGATGCCATCATAAACGAAGGGTGAAGTAATGAATAATTCTTGCCGAAAATTGTAAACAAAAGGTGAGTGGGGGAGTGGCTGGGCCAAACGCAGATTCATACATGTTTTCTCTGATAATTGAGCAGAGAAAACATAATGTTGTCCCTCCACCCGGCTACCACACAGGTCCACAAGTATTATCAGAGCACACATAAAATATGCAATAAATGCCAGACAACAAGTTTACACTAACTTATATTAAGTTAGAAATAGAAATAGGCATTAAAAACACAATAAAAGGTAAGATACACACAGAGTACACTTATTACTTACTTAAAATATTAATATTAATGTGTGAGAGGTGAGTGGCAGTGTGTTTATTGAATAAAATCAGAATGGCACACCATCATCCTCTAACTTGGCACTTAAAGCAAGAGGGTTACGACTCCTCTTTTTATCACAGCTAAGCTTAGACGCCATCATCAATGAGCGCCAACTAGTTAACGAAAGAGTAAACGAGAGAGAGAACGAGATACAGAGTTGAGACAATGTAAGAACACAAACTGAACAGGTAGTGGGCGATCACTTGGTCAGGCAAAATAAATGTGTATTAATGTGTGTTTGCGTTTAGTTCATTCACATACGTTTGTAAGAGTATGTAAAACTTTTACCTCACAATATTTTTTTATTATAATAATAATAATTACCTCACAATGGAAATACTCTAATACATGTATTGTGTACAAGTTGTACAAGTTAGTACAGAATAAAAAAACACCAACACTTACATTCTCATGCAACACACCATTTTTAGAGTGAAGGAAGATGATATTATTATTATTATCATAATAAAAAAGCACTAAACCCACAAGGGTCATGAATTGCTATGTATAGAGTGAAGTCATATGAAAGGAATATTTTTCTACAGTTATCCCCCAGTTTGACTAGAGAAAACGTAATTCTTCCGACACTACCTACACAGCCACTTTTTAAACAAATCTCGTACATTGGACCCACGGTTATCGGCCAGTTTGGTTATCGGCCAACTCGGTTATCGGAGGGGTTTTCGGCGCCCGTTATTGGCCATTCCCTCCGTTATTGGCCATTTTGGACAAGCACAAGCTGGGGCAGCTTGTGCTTCAGTTTGGCTTTGTCTCTCGGTGGCTGAGGAAGCTTCTGCTCATATATCCAAAAATTTCACTTGTTTACCATTGTTTTTAGTGGTTTTCCTTGCAGTGCAACTGTGAAATAAGCAACCATGGCTCCAAAGAAAGTTCCTAGTAAAGTTCCTGTGGTAAAGAAAGTGAGAAACACCATGGAATTTAAGCGTGAAGTGATCGAAAAGTTTGAGAGCAGTATCAGGGTGCTGGAACTTGCCAGAATGTACAGCAAGAATAAATCAACAATTACACCCACCCTGGCAAAGAAAGAACAAATCAAGGATGCTAATGTTGCAAAAGGAGTAACTTTTCTAACTAAACAAAGGCCACCAATAATGGAAGAGATGGAAAAATTATTATTATTGTGGATTAAGGAAAAAAATTAGTGGGAGACGGTGTTCTGGAGTCGATCATTTGTGAGAAGGCAAGGCAGTTGCATAAGGATCTTGCAGAAAAAATGCCTGGAACAAGTGCTGCAGTTTGTGAATTTAGGGCCTGCAATGGATGGTTTAATAGATTTAAGAAGCGTAGTGGCAAACACACTGTTGTAAGGTATGGTGAGGCTGCAAGTTCTGACAAATGTGCATCTGAAAAGTACGTTCAAGAATTCCAGGACTATGTAAAGGCTGAAGGATTCGAACCCCAACAAGTGTTCAATTGTGATGAAACAGGCCTGTTTTGGAGGAAAATGCCAAACAGGACCTACATTGCCCAGGAGGAAAAGGCACTGCCAAGACACAAGCCTATGAAAGACAAGCTTACTCTTTTGTTGTGTGGTAATGCTAGTGGGGATTTCAAAATGAAGCCTTGACTCGTGTATCACTCAGAAAATCCAAGAATATTCAAGAAAAACAATGTCATGAAGAATAGATTGTGTGTGATGTGGAAAGTTAATCATAAGGCATGGGCCACAAGGCAAATTTTCGAAGAGTGAGTTAATGATGTGTTTGGCCCAAGTGTGAAAAAATACCTCCCGGAAAAGAGATTGCCACTCAAGTGCCTCCTAGTACTGGACAATGCTCCTGCACATCCTCCAGACTTGCAAGACCAAGTGTTTAGGGACTTCAGTTTCATCACAGTGAAGTTCTTGCCTCCTAACACCATTCCTCTCCTCCAGCCCATGAACCAGCAGGTCATTTCTAACTTCAAAAAACTCTACACAAATGCAGTGTTTCAAAAGTGCTTTGAAGTGATGTCTGAAACTCAGTTGACCCTAAGAGAGTTTTGGAGGAATCACTTCACTATCCTCCATTACATAAGCCTTATAGGTAAGGCTTGGGAGGGAGTGACTTCCAGGACTTTGAACTCTGCTTAGAGAATCTATGGCCAGATTGTTTCCAAGAAATGGATTTTGAAGGGCTTGAGGCTGACCCTGACCCTGAGGACTCTATTGTGGCACTGGGGAAGTCCCTGGGGTTGGAGGTGAGTGGCAAGGAAGTGGAAGAGTTGATGGAGGACCACAGGGAAGAGCTAATCACTGAAGAGCTGCAAGAACTTCAATTTAACAACAACAGACTGCAGCTGAGGAACTTGCTTCAGAGGAGGAGGAAGAGGGAGTGAGGGAGGTGCCTTCTTCATTGATTAAGAACATTTGTGCAAGGTGGAATGATGTGCAAAGCTTTGTCGAGAAGTACTACCCTGACAAAGCTGAAACAAGCCATATCTGCAACATGTTGAGTGACAAAACTCTGTCCTACTTCCGGGAAATCTTAAAGAGATGCCAGAAACAGAGCACTCTGGACAGTTATTTTGTGAGACGGGTCCAGTGACTCTCAAGCTGGGGAAGTAACTCCAGAGAAGGTTTTGCTACCTAAAGTCTTTATGGAGGGGGATTCCCTTTCCACACACTAACTCCTCCCTCTTTCCTCCTCCCTATCTTCCAGAAGCCAGCATTAGCCCTCACTAAAGGTATGTAATATTTATATAATTGTTAATAAAATTATTTTTTTGTGTGTGAATATTTTTGACTGGAATGGATTAATTGTATTTACATTAATTCTTAAGGGAATATTACTTTGATTTTCAGCCATTTCGGTTTTCAGCCGACATTCTGGAACGGATTACGGCTGATAACCGAGGGTCCACTGTATGAAACATTTGTACCTGTGTGTATATATATGTACACTGCGCATGATATGGGTCTCATGGGCCAAAAGAGTTACTGGAAAATGTTAAAAATTGGAAAATCCCCAGAAAAAGTAAAAAACAAAAATAGAAAAATGCGTAGTGTGCAGCAATCACCAATGATGCTGTCAGCAAGTCACTGATCTTTAACTTCACACCATTTTATTTTGCAAAGTACTAATGATAATTTTTTATTGTTTTTTAATTTAGACAGAGAGAGTGAAGGGGTTAAACATGACAAATTATTAAGTAACAAACATAAAATGCACAATACCTTACTACCATTGAAGTATTCTCCACCAAAGAGAATAAGTTGGTCTTTGTCAGGGTGAGGCGTGAGAGTAAATGATGTTCTCTTTGATGGAGGTGCCATTAAGTCTTCAGTAACAGCAAGTTTGGCTTTATCCTCCTCCACAAACTTTGCAAGAAGTGTACCAATGTCTTCCTGTGAAACGATGAAGAAATTAAACATATATAAATGGAGTACAACAACAGGAAGTGAAGAAAATAAGCATAAAGGAAGTTGCTGGGTTTAGAGCACTTGGACTTATAATATATTTAGTAACTCAGTGAATTTGATAATACACACACACAAACACACTCACTAGTGAAAACTTGTCTTCGACACACCAGCCAAATCCCACCACAACAGCCTGATAAAATATACAGAAGTCTCCAGAACCATAACATTCCCACCTACACTTCTACAGTGTAGGCACTGTACTTCCCACCTCCTGAACCATAACATTGCCACCTACACTTCCACAGTGTAGGCACTGTACTTCCCACCACCTGAACCATAACAATCCCACCTACACTGCCACAAAGCAGTCACTGTTCTTCCCACCTCCAGATGTCAAGTCCAGCTAACTAGTTTAACTGAATGTCTTCATTAACCCCTAAACGGTCCAAATGTACATATACGTTCTTATGCGTAGCATCCCAAAGGTATATCTTTCTTTCAACACACCGGCCGTATTCCACCGAGGCGGGGTGACCCAAAAGGAAAAACGAAAGTTTCTCGTTTTATATTTAGTAATATATACAGGAGAAGGGGTTACTAGCCCCTTGCTCCCGGCATTTTAGTCGCCTCTTACAACACACATGGCTTACGGAGGAAGAATTCTGATCCACTTCCCCATGGAGATAAGAGGAAATAAACAAGAACAAGAACTAGTAAGAAAATAGAAGAAAACCCAGAGGGGTGTGTGTGTGTGTGTGTTGTGTGTATTATATATATATTTTATATATATATAATATATATATATATATATGTCGTGCCGAATACGTAAAACTGTCAATTAGCAAGAACCATTTAAAATTAAGTCCTTTCTGAAATTTTCTAACTTATTACTAAAGATAATATTTTTTTCATTAAGTTAATGTAAACAATTTAATTTATGACAAAAGAATCTTAGAACTTACCTAACTTATTTATAACAGAGCAATTTATTTTAGCATTAGCCCTACTAATACATTAAATACTGTTACAATAATTTACTACTAGAAAAACACAATCAAATAATTTTTTGTAGGTCAGAGATTTTGCGAATTATTGCATACACAAATTTTCATTGTCCTTATGGAAGATGAGCTTGTATTTAAGCCAAGATGCAAATTTGCCTATTCGGCACGACATATATATATATATATATTATATATATATATATATATATATATATATATATATATATATATATATATATATATATATATATATATATATATATATATATACACATGCTTGTACATGTATGTGTAGTGTGATCTAAGTGTAAGAAGAAGTAGCAAGACGTACCTGAAATCTTGCATGTTTATGAGACATAAAAGACACCAGCAATCCTACCATCATGTAAAACAATTACAGGTTTCCGTTTTATGCTCACTTGGCAGGAAGGTAGTACCTCCCTGGGCGGTTGCTGTCTACCAACCTACTACCTAGGCCAAATGTATATATACGTTTTAATTTTCCTTCCTCCAAATTTGGCACTATTGCCCTGAGATACCTGGTCAGCATAGAATGAGTTTTAACACTTGGTGTGCACCATATTAAAAAAAACTGGGACCACTTAGTACCTTGTGGGAGCGCCAGTTAAACTGACTGCCAGCTGGAGCAAACAGTGCAGCAAACACCAAGCATTCACTGATGTAATGTCATATTAACACTCATCTTTTAAGAGGAAAGTGATGTTAACCCCAAGTTTAGGGTCTGTCTACCTCTGTCTCTGTTTATCTGTCTCTGTCTCTGTCTATCTGTCTTTATCTATCTCTGTCTATCTGTGTCTCTGTCTCTGTCTATTTGTCTCTGCCTCTGTCTTTGTCTATCTGTCTGTGTCTATCTCTTTCAATCTGTCTCTGTCTATCTCTTTCAATCTGTCTCTGTCTATCTCTCCACATTCTCCTCCTCCTCACTCTCCTCCTCCTCCTATTCATTCTCCTCCTCCTTCTCATTCTTCTCCTCCTACTCATTCTCCTCCTCCTACTCATTCTCCTCCTCCTTCTCATTCTCCTCCTCCTTCTCATTTGCCTCCTCCTACTCATTCTCCTCCTCCTCCTCTTTTCCTCCTAATTCTCCTCCTCCTACTCATTCTCATCTTCCATCCTCCTCCTCATTCTCCTCCTCCTCCTCATTCTCATCTTCCTCCTTCTCCTCCTCCTCCTCATTCTTCTCCTTCTCATTCTCCTCCTCCTACTCATATCTCCCCCTCCTCCTTTCATTCTTATCCTACTCATTCTCCTCCTCCTACTCATTCTCCTCCTCCTTTCATTTGCCTCCTCCTACTCATTCTCCTCCTCCTCCTCCTCCTCCTCATTTTCCTCCTCATTCTCCTCCTCCTACTCATTCTCCTCCTCCTCCTCATTCTTCTCCTCCTCCTCCTCATTCTTCTCCTCCTCCTCATTCTCCTTCTCCTCATTCTCCTCCTCTTCATTCTCCTCCTCCTTCTCCTCTTCCTCCTCCTTCTCCTCTTCCTCCTCCTTCTCCTCTTCCTCCTTCTTCTCCTCTTCCTCCTTCTCCTCTTCCTCCTCCTCCTCCTTCTCATTGTTATTATGTACTTCCACATATCCAAAACATTGCTGAGATATATAAATACTTTGTATATATTCCAAGACAATAGTAAATGACCAAGGCAGGTGTAAATGTCTACCTGTCAGTGTGTTTGTGACAATTTGAGAACAATTTCAGTACTTAATACTAGTGTCAGAACAAAGATTGGTTATGAAATGACAAGAACTATTATAAATTTTAATTATCAGAACATAAAAATCATAAAATAATATGAAAAATAGAACATAAGGTATATCGGCAACACTTCTGCAAGCGGCAGGACTCAACGTTGCTGTCACGTGAGCATCCGGTGCCAACTTCTCCGCCTCATATTTCAGTAAGTACTGACCCTAATTTTTTTTATCCTACAACAGTTAGAAAAATGTGCTCTTTATTTTCATTAAAAAAAAAAGATTTTTTTTTAATTTTTCCAAATATTTGGGGCACTGGGGTAGTGAACGTATATATACATTTAGACCATTTAGAGGTTAAATGAGAAGAGGCTGTATTAGAATATATTTCTCCATAAACTGTGTCAATTTTTTTTATTCTAAAACACATAAAAAAAGGTGCTCTTTTTTCTATATAAAAAAAACTATTTTTTTTTTCCAAAATATTCAGGGCGCTGCGCAAGAGAGCGTATATATACGTTTGGACCGTTTAACCCTTTCAGGGTTTTCACTGTACTAGTATGGCTTACGCACCAGGGTTTCTGACGTACAAGTACAGTGGACCCCCGGTTAACGATATTTTTTCATTCCCGAAGTATGTTCAGGTGCCAGTACTGATCGAATTTGTTCCCATAAGGAATATTTTGAAGTAGATTAATCCATTTCAGACCCCCAAACATACACGTACAAATGCACTTACATAATTGGTTGCATTGGGAGGTGATCGTTAAGCGGGGGTCCACTGTACACCTAAATTCTAGCTCCCTCAAATCTATTGAGAGAAAGCTGGTAGGCCTACATATGAAAGAATGGGTCTATGTGGTCAGTTTATCGGGAGGGAGTTCCGGGGGTCAACGCCCCCGCGGCCCGGTCTGTGACCAGGCCTCCTTAGGTCAGTGTCCCAGGATGCGACCCACACCAGTCGACTAACACCCAGGTACCCATTTTACTGATGGGGAACATAGACAACAGGTGAAAGAAACACGTCCAATGTTTCTACTCTGGCTGTGAATCGAACCCAGGCCCTCACCGTGTGAAGCGAGAGCCTTAACCACCAGGCCACCAGAGCGCAGTATAAAAAAAATCCTGCAGCACACAGTGCATAATGAGAAAAAAGACTCTGACCGTGTTCTTGGATTAAAACACCGACTTTGCACTGTATTTTCGTATGGTATTTATTGTTGTATTCTAGTTTTCCTGGTCTCATTGTATAGAATGGAAGACATATTACAGAAATTGAGATGATTTTGACTGATTTTACAATGAAAAGTACCTTGAAATTGAGTTCAAAGTAGCAGAAATGTTCGATTTTTACCAAAGTTCAAAAGTAAACAAATCATGTTAAACGTCCAATACACGTCAATTGGTGAGTCTAATATTCTTTCACAAGTGCGCCGATATTATTTATACAATTTTTTACACTAATGCAGTAGTCTGCATAACAGTAAATCTTCTATTTTTTGTGAGAATAAAAATTCAAAGTGGAAAGCAAAAGAATGTAAGAAGGGCATTGGGACGTGACTAATGAACAGAGGAAATGCCATTTTAGTGCCAGGAATGTCTTTCTTGTTTATTCTGGACCCTATTTGGAAATTGGCATCTTTTGAAATTTGTGTGAAATTGGCAAAATTGCTAAATTCTGACCACTGTATTGGATAGTTGAAATTGGTATATGGGTGATTTCTTGTACTCATTCGATAGAAAAAATAGAGTTCTAGCGAAATAGTTATGATTTTTGTCGACTAGTACACTGGAATTGGCCGAAAATAGGGTTCAAAGTGAGCAAAACGCCGATGAGTAAACATCGTCGAGACCGCTAACTTCGTGAGAGCATAATTCCATAAGTTTTCCATCAAATTTCATACTTTTGGTGTCATTATGACCGGGAAAAGATTCTCTATCTTTTCATAAGGAAAAATATTTTTTTTTTTTGAAATTTGGGCAACCCTGCGAACAAGAGTCTGAGAGGGCCTGTCAACCCTGAAAGGGTTAAGGGTTAATACCACAAGGTGAAAACTATTAACACCAAGAACACAAAAAATTATACTATCACAAAGTCAAAATCTTCATTTAGAAAGATTCAAAGAAGTTACAGCAGTTATGTATACAGTTTAGTTACTTTCTGTTTGAAACAATAATAATATAAATACAGTGGACCCTCGGTTATCGGCCATTCCGGATATCAGCCAATTCAAAATTCAGCCGCTTTTATGGCCGAAATTCTATCCCGGATTTAGACCATCAACTCGGAAATTGGCCATATTGGATTTTAAAATGGGGATTTCAAAGTGAAGCCTTTACTGGTATATCATTCTGAAAATCCAAGAGTGTTCAAGAAAAACAATGTCGTCAAGAGTAAATTGTGTGTGTTGTGGAAAGCTAATATAAGGCATGAGTCACAAGGCAAATTTTCATTGACTGGATCCATGAAGTGGTTGGCCCAAGTGTGAAAAAATACCTCCAGGAAAATAAATTGCCACGCAAGTGCCTCCTGGTACTGGACAATGCTCCAGCTCATCCTCCAGCT